CACGTTGACAAGCATTTCAAGAATGCCAGTGCCAACTGTTGGTGAGTATGTAGAATAATAACACTGCTGGTGAGTGTAAGATTATCTAGTGAAGTTGAAAATATGCACACACCCCAGCAGCTCTACTCTCACGTGCATACTCTAGAGATGCTTTTGCACATGTGCTTCAATATGTATACAAGAGTGTTTATAATAGCCCCAAACTGGAACAACCCAGCAGCGAAAATAAACTACAGCTACACAAAATAACATAGATGGAATCTTAAAACATTTAGTAAAAGAAATGACACAAAAAGGCTACACAATTTTTTTCTCATTCATATGAAGTTTAAGAAGAGATGATAATTGGGCAGATGTGGTGGCTCACGCCTGTAATCCCAGCACTTTGGGAGGCTGAGGGAGGAAGATTGCTCGAGCCTAGGAGTTTGAGGTTGCAATGAGCTATGATGATGCCACTGCACTCAAGCCTGGGCAACAGAGCAAGACCCTGTCTTAGGGTGGGGATGGGGGGGTAACATGTTTGGGGATGTAGGCATGGTGATGACTAGGGTGGGGATGGGGGGGTAACATGTTTGGGGATGTAGGCATGGTGATGACTATTTTAAAAAATATATAAGTCAGGAGAGTGGTTGTCGTCTGGGGCATGAGGTACTGATGGGGAGGGGGCAAGTCAGGTCTTCTGGAAGGCCACAGTGTTCTATTTTTTGACCAGAATGGTTTTGCAGGTGCTTGTGTTTTATTTCCTGCAATTTTGTTTTACGCACTTAAAATTTGGTCTGAGAACAAATTGAAATTTAAGACCAGTGATTCCTTTAAAATGCTCAATTAGCCATGTTCTTTTTCCTCATCATTGGTAATTTAGAGTGAGTTACATCAGTTGTTCTTTCCTAGATGCTTAGGAAGAAGGCAAACTTAAAAGATTTTAACTGTGGCAGTCTTTTTGGTTTACAAAATCATTTAATCATTTATAAGTGGAAAACTTATATATAAAGCAAAAAGCAATTTTTAAATGCCACTAAAATATTTCATCCTTTGCTGAGCTGTGGAAGAGTGTTTTTAATATCGCTGCACAAAAGCATGCTTAACGGAGAAATCAGCTTTTAGTTGGTTTTAGTTGTTAAGGCTACAAGAAACGGCGGTGGGGGTGGGGAGAAAAGGAAACTGGTTATTCCAAGAAAACATGAAATCTACTATGCTCTGATAAATCAGGCTGCTTTCATTTCTCTAAAAGAGACTTGGTGGTTGGATCTAAGATGTTTTTGAAAATAAAAATAGATAATAGATCTTCTTAAGATGTTTCAGATGTAAGCTGTGCTTATTACATGAATATGCTAATGAAACAACCAGGCCTTCAATTAGAGTCTCCTTCCTGTTAGAATTTGAGATGTAAAACAAAATATAAACTAATTTCTGACCTGTTAAAGGTTTTTCTTAAAATTTTAATTGTAATATTGTTTAATGTTTCTTCTCCACTTAAACATGAATTTTGGGTAATACCAGAGTAAAACTAAATATATTATATTATATATTATCCAAGATTTAAAACTCAACCATACTGTCACCATGGAATTTGTTGGCCACATAACCATGTTTCTTTCTTTCTTTCTTTCTTTTTTTGAGACAGAGCCTCAAGCTGTTGCCCTGGGTAGAGTGCTGTGGCATCACAGCTCACAGCAACCTCAAACTCCTGGGCTCAAGC